AGTCGTGGTTGGCTAACTGAGTTTTAATTCGGGATTGTTGTGCTTACGTAATAACTTACAAAAAATAACAAGAAAAAGATCTATGATCATAAGAGTTTGCACGATAACAAATATTACACTTTTTTTTTTTTACTATACTCTCTTACTCCACGTAAGAAAATTTTGATTACCTATTTTATAAATATATGTTTAATATAAGATATTAAAAACTCCACCTTTCTCAAGATATATATTACGTAATATTTGTTTTTGCCCTTATTAGAAATAAACCTCTTTAATTAATATATATATATATATTGTTTCAAAAACGATTATTGATAACAATTTAAAAAAATATCTACCAGTACTATAATTAAATTTTAATTAAAAAATTTTAGTGAGTAAATTTGCCTGCTAAACGGTTTAAAAATAAGAAAATGCTGGCTATATTTTTTTTAATTTCTACACTGATTGGTGTTTGCTTCGTAGAAATCTTAGCAACATTACTTAAAAGAATATAGTATATTTTAATCAAGATTTTATTATTCGAAAACATGAACATGCAAATTCATCAATTGGTGTAATTTATGAGATCATATGGTAAAATTTTAAAAATGAAAATCATGTAACAGCACAAATTAAAAATTATGACATTTTTTTAAAAAAGGAATACTGGATTTTGGATTACAAACATTTTTACAGTCGCAAAATTCCAGACTAATGAATTGGCTTTTGGAAGTGGCAAAATTAGTAATACAAATGAAAGGAATAACATATAAACATCATAACAAAAATTAGAATCGAAAGATTACGAAGAAGCGAACCCCTTAAATTAACGAAGATTCTTAAACAAAGTTAAGAATATTCTTTGTTTTAAATAAGAAGAACAACAACTTTTATTTAATAATCAATTTCATTGACTGGTACATAGGATTTTTAAGATGAATAAATTAATTCGCATTTGAAGAAAAAAAAAAAGGAGAACGATTTTTTGAAATGACAAGATTTGTAAAACAATTTTTTGAAATGACAAGATTTGTAAAACAATTTTATTTGAAAGATGTCCAATCACAGATCGATAATAAATTAACTTTAAATTATAATCGAAACAAAAGAATATATAAAAAGGAGACAAAGAAGAATAGCATTCAAAATGGATTAAAAAGAAAAAGATATTCAGGAAGAAATCATTCAGATTCAATACAAGCCAATACAGTAATAACGCGATTAATAATTAAGTGACATCATTATTATTATCGCGATAGAAACGTGGCATCTACGTAGTGCATGTACGAACTAAATAAACATACTTTAATTTGGTTTAACCTAAAATGATTTGTTGAGCATAAAAAGGTTGAACTTACGATCGATAAGTACGTAACCAAAAAAGATTAGAATATTAGCATGATTCATAGTGATGGTAGTTTATTTACATTCATTATATGCAGTATATGCAGCATATAGCATATGCAGCATATATATAGCAAATATAGAAAATGCAAGCAATAGTATAGAAAGAGTATAGCATGAGTATAGCATGAGTGTAACGCAAAACTGCTTAGAATAGAATTTATCTAACCATATTAATACGCCGATTACCAAATACGGAAGTAAAGACATTATCACGAGAACTTTGAACGTCCGAAGCAATTTTATTTTATTCAGCCGAAACAGAAGCGGAGTTTGTCGTTCTCGTGTTACACAAATTGCCATGCCGTTCGCAAGTGATACGCAATGATACGCAGTGATACGCAAAGCTAAATGATTAAGTGAAACATTGTAACACATACTTTTTGCACCCCCACGAATATGTTAATATGTTAACTATGGAGATACGTACGTACGTAACATACGTATGTAATTTTTAGATGGCGTCTGCATTTCTCCAAACTAGCCTATTCGCATATATGCATGGCGGTTTTCGTGACATGATGGATTGGTATTTATTCTTTTGGGATAAAGTTTTTTTTTTTTTTACAGCTAATCATACAAAATCACAAAATCTACACAATCATACAAAATCATACCAAATCATACAAAATCATACAAATTTAGATGGCACAAATCGTGAATTGGCAGCTTGTAACTAGAATTTAATTGGAAATTTTTTTTTTTACATATTTTATTTCGTTATATGATGAAAAAAAAAAAATCCTCTGGACAAATATATTTGATGGTGTGACGGGTACTCAATGACGCATGTATGTACGTACGTACGTACATGAGTACGTAATCTGATTTCACAAGAGTACGAATGAAACCAGAATAAGGGAATAATGCAAAATAGAACGACCATTAAAGCTATTATATATGTGCAGCACAACTTGGTATTAATAAACATGACGGTTATAAGAGTACCATGCATTTATATTTGAGTCAACTATTCATATACGTACTGTACGTACAGTATGTAAGTAGTTCGCGTATGTATCTGGTATGCAATTCGCATGATAGCCGAAATGATATGCATTGATAAACCTAGAACAGTAACAATGATACGTAACAAATTAAAAAAAAGAAACCTTTGTTTGTATAATACGTAGCATGAATTATAAAGGTTACGAAAGTGTATTGGCGCATATGTTCTTGGAAATATACACGTTGAAAAAAAACTATATACTGTATATATACAAGGTAGATACTGTACATATATACATAGCACTAACCAATAATAATAATCAATGACGATAATAATACGATAATAATACGATAATAATACGATAATAATACGATAATAATACGATAATAATACGATAATAAAAAAATAATAATACAATAATAATAGTGGTAGCATCTAAAGTACGTATGCAATGTATATACATACTTATTTTTAATAGACATGATAAAAACGCATGATCTTTCAAAGTTATTACAATATTAATTAATGCATCAATTTTAATTTAAAGATAGCAAGAGGAATACATATACGTGTTGAGATAAAGACATACCGGAAAGAGAACAATGAACGAAAAGAAAAAATATTGGTTAATAAGGTTAATATGATTAATATGATTAATAAGATTAATAAGAAGAGTCAAAATTAAATATGTACGTACAGTACATACGCGCAAACCCGCAAAAACAGATGAGATAACAGAGATTAGTGCTTTAAAGGGAAAGTTGATCGAATATCAAATATCAACATGTTTATTGACACAAAAGAAATTTTTCATTTGTTGAACTATATATTATAGTCAAGTTATTATATCTACTATATTTACTATATCTACTATATTTACTAGATTTACTAGATTTACTATATCCACTATATTTACTAGATTTACTAGATTTACTATATTTACTATATCTACTACAGTACTATATTTACTATATTTACTATATTTACTATATCTATTATATTTACTATATCTATTATATTTACTAGATTTACTATATCTACTATCTACTATATCCACTATATTTACTATATCTACTTTTACTATTTACTATATATTTTACTATATATTTACTATATTTACTATATTAAAAGGTTGTGCATAACTAGCGAAAGATTGAATTTCATCAATCCTTTTATTTTAATTTATAAACTTATAATCTTCTCATATCGATGACGTACGCAAATAATCAACAAATCTCAAATATATCTACCAAAGATTCATAAGATCACATTTAATTAAATTAAAAACGTGGTTGGTGTGATGCATCCAAGAAATCTCTCGTTTTCTATTATTATTCCCATAAATCATAACCCTTATCGCTTATCTCAAACTTTACGTTAATTCTAATTAAATTAATCCTCTTTCTTATTTACAAAATACTTTTTTAAAAAAAATTTAATGATCCCTTTTTAGCTCGCCCAACTATTTTTATGAGTTTATCATTGTATCTTTGAGGAGTTGATTCTTAAAATTGCATAATAGTAAGGTTTGTACCTGTGTAATTTATGTCAACGAAATAGTAGGAATAGTTGAAATATTTTTGTAATAGTTGAGGTAGTACACCGATTTCCCGCCATTTTTTTTTTAATATAAATCAGGTTTGCACTAGTTTTTATACTCATATATTAAAGAACTCCTTGCATGATATGCATCTTTACACACATTATGTGATTGTATCACTCCTGTATCAGTTTAAATATTAAAAAGTGTGTACAGACGTACGTACGTACGTATGTACCCGAACTGCGTACGTCAACTGAATCGTTAACTCCGAATGATTTCTCCCTTAGATTTTCAAAATTTTATATAAATTCCGCTTATGAGTACACATAACTTCGGTTAAAACTCTATAAAAGGTTACTCATTTTCTTTTGAATTTATATGCGTGACTAAACTATTTAACATTCGGGATTACTTCATTTTAAATACCTCCGATTAAATTGTAAACGTTGCACCTACGTACGTAGTATATATTTTACTCGAGTGATTTCTATTTTATATTGCTTTGTATTGATTTATATTGACTTATGTCAATTTGTGTCAATATAAAGGCAAAAGAAATTCTGATCGCCCCATAAATTTTTTTTTATTTTATTTTTTTTTATATTAATAAAAAAAAAAAAAATTTAAAAAGTCTGTTTTTATAAACAAAAAAAAAACAAAGAATTGGTGTTAGTAAATAAAAAAGAACCATTTTTCTTTTTAACTTTATATCCCACATTTTCTTTATTATTAGTCTGGAACAGGATTCCATCAAAACTCTCGTAATTAAATCGTGTTGCGATGAGTATATAATTTTTTGTAAATAAATTCCTTAAAATTTCTTAAATTGTAAAACAAAATATCCTGTGTGTTCCTTTTTTTTTTTTTTTCTTTCTTAAAGTCCTTCTTAATACAATAAAAATTATCATCCAGATCTTTTTTAAAAAGTACGCAAATAAGTTTGACAAAAAGTAGGATATGGGAGCTTGTTTATGTAAACCAAAACTAAGACAAAAACGACAAAGACGTCGAAAACTACATCGTCGTGTACCTGCTTCTTCAATAAGTTCCCCACTATCTGATGCTCATCTTATTATGAGTGATACTTTTGATTGTGGTGTTAACGAAGAATATCGATTTATCGATGGAAGAAGATTTCATAATGTTAGAAATTCAAAATATATGATGCCTTGTGATGATGATGAACTTGATAGATTACATGTATTGCATTATATTTGCCGATTCATATGGAAATGTAATTATTCTGCACCGATACATGATAAATTGAGTTCTGGTGGTGCTCTTGTATTGGATGTCGGGTAGGCTTTTTTTTTACTATATATAATGATTTATTGTTGGTAATGATTATTATTGATCTTTTTATCATATTTATCATATTTATCATACGATTTATTATTGATCTTTTTACTATAATGGATTTTAGATGTGGTACTGGCACCTGGGTCGTGGAAATGGCAAATGAATTCCCTCGTTCTCACTTTACTGGAATAGATATTTCTCCCGTGTTTCCAAGAGAAGCAAAACCTGAAAATGTACTTTTTGCAGAAGCAAATCTACTGGATGGTCTGCCATATAATGACAATACTTTTGATTACGTTCACATGAGGTTTCTAATGACTGCCTTTAGTAAACAAGAATGGGAATGCGCTTTAAAGTATGTATTTTTTACTATATTTATAAAATAACCAATTGCAATTTAACTAACTGCAATTTTTATTAATAAAATATTTAGAGAAATTGTCAGAGTGACAAAAATTAATGGAGTTATTGAAATAATGGAAGATGAACTAGAACCGAGAAATGATGGACCTATATCACGGCTATTACATAGCGCATGTAAATATATGTGCAAATTCATTTATCTTTATTATAATGATCTCTTATATTTAAACTTTTTACGATTTAAATAAACGTCCTAGTTTTGTCGGATCTTCATTCACGCAATATCGATACTACGATATATAACCACATGTTCGATATGTTGATGAATACGCGACAATTGGCCAATATAAAAGCTGAAGAAATATCAACGTCTTTTGGTAAATGGGCTGGTAGAATTGGTGCTCTATTAGCCGAAAATACTGGTATTTAATTAATTTAATTATTTATCATCCGCCTATTTTATTTATTTTATTTTATTTATTTATTTTTTTGATCGATTTTTATAGCCAATATATTTCGTACGTTTCGAACAAAATTTTCTTCATTTCTTGGTCTTGAACCAGATGAATATGATAAATTATTGGAAGCTTGGTGTTGTGAGTTAAACGATTGTAAACCTTATAATGTTGGATATAGATTTTTGGCAACAAAGTACAAGTAATTCATGTTGATTTGTCCCAAAAATTTAATAATTTCACAAAAAAAAAAAAACTTTGCCTATTAAGGCCAAATTTCACACCCTTTGTATATACTAGATTTTTTGATATATATATATTATTTATATATTTATATATTTTAATTTTTATTCATTGTATAAAATTACAAAATCCCCCTTCAATTTCACAACCCACCACTTCTACAACTAATCTACTATCTCTTTTGTATGCTTAATGGGTTTGGAAAAAAAATCATATCAAAGGTATAAAAAAAAAAAAAAAAACAAAAAAGAAAAAAGGAAAAAAATAATAATAACTTAAATATTTTTTCTTATGCAAGAAGTTATGCCCGATAAATACGTAAAAAAAAAATTTATCGGACCTTGCATTGCTCCGTTTTTTTAAAATAATTTTTTTTTACGTATTTATTATTTTTTTATATATAGTATTTTTTTCACTCATTTTTGTAAAAATCTTTTATTATATGCCATCAAACATGTTTTCATTCTTTGTAAATTTTTTTTTTTTTTGAATCTACTTTTGCATAATATAAAGTTTTTTTTTTTCTTTATTAGCAATTACCATTCATTACATCTTTTTTTAGCATTTTTTTCATTCATTCATTTAGTTATTTATTTTATATCAAATAAGTATTCATTGCATCAAATAGCAAAAAAGAAATGAATGTTACATTGTTATTAACACGATAGTGTATTCATCATAAAAAAGTAATAAAACTTTACAAGATACTCGTAAACACGTATTACATATTAACATTACTGTAGTAAGATTCATTCCGAACGTCAGGAAAATAGTTTTTCCGGTTAAAAATAATCTATATACTATATATATATATATACACGTATACGTATACTAGTAACTTTTTCATTCCATTCACATGCATAAAAAATAGCCAATACCTTACATGTAATAAATTTATTATATATCTGATATTATCGTTATCGTATACGTATTAGTTTTTTATAGATTATCACCGAATAATGACTAATATTGTTTTCCCATAATATTGTATAGACGGAATCACAGTACTATATAAATTATAATTGTTTTGAGATTACAGAGATTGCATATATATATCGATATATAGATGTATATATATTTTTTTAACGAGGACGTTTATTAGATCCTTACCCGTTGCGTGAATCATTATTCCATGCGTAGAGATTTTC